TTTCTTCTATCACACTGCATCTGGATAGGGAAAATTACGCACTTTTTAAGACAACTCAAACAACAAAAAACTTAATTTGCAAAAAATTCTATCATTCAATACATTTTTAAATTTACGTTGAAATGCAAGTCCTTCATATTATTGATTAACTGTAAAAATTTCGAATGGTGAAGCTGACCTCAATATTGCACAGGACATATTGTTAAAGAAGACATAGGCATGACAAAACTGTGTCATGTTTACATTTCTCGAGTACAGGAAAAACCAACTATGACGTTACATGTAAGCTAAATAAGCGAATAAGGTATACCTACATAAGATTTCTGTCATCAGCCATGCAAAAATAATTTTTGTGTTTCCTGTTTCTCAAAATATTTCATCATATACTGATTATGACCTGTTTTACATAATAATACCACCCCTTCTGTATTCACCGAGTATGATCTTGCTGCACTAACAGATCATGTATGACGTCACCGACTTGTTGGATGCTCAGTTTAGGGAAACAGAGGAGTGTATCAACCTTTTTCATAATTTGTTAATGTTTACAAAAATGTTAAAACTTTAAATTTTTTAAATAAGATGGTACTTAAAGTAAAACAATTTTGTCAAAAATTTATACAAGAACTGATATCGATGCTTTACATGTTTTGCACTTATATAAACGGAGACTATGACGTAGTTAAACAAAGTCATGTGACCATGTGTCCTTCATCCCCTTAAAATCAGTTACATTATTTTTAGTGTAGACTGAGAAATAAATAAATAAATATATATATTCATATATAAACAGTCAAACCTCATTATCTCAAACTCAATGGGACCAAGAAAAAAATTGGAAATAATTCTAGGCATTCAAGGTACTGAGGTTAAAATACACAAAGAAAAAAAGTGGTTGCATGGGGCTTCCAATTGACTTGATATCCATGAGATACAAAAGTTCAACTGTATTTCCATAAAAATGATTGAAATATGACAATGTCCATTTCAGCTTTTGGATGTGAAGATGAAGTACTGTGAAGATTTTAAAGATGTTCTTATGGCTGACCCCCCTCCATGGTTCAAATCCTTTTGCTATTGTGAAATTCTTTTGCAATTTCCTTTCTTCTTCATAGCAACATATGCTCTGTGGAAAGGTGTGTACATCTACTTAATCTTTTTTTTTGTAAGACCTATGTACCTAAAAGAAAAATAAAATGAATTATTATATGATAGAATAACTGCTACCTCTTTGATTGAGTGGCTGAATTCCGATATTCTTGTCATCGAAATCATAAAATGTTACATTTACCTGCATCCAACCTTCCAGGTTATATAATATTTGATTTACATGGGTAAATCCAAAAGGAATGTCACAACTGCTATAAAATCTGAAATAATGGAAAGTTTTCAAAAAATTTATTTATATTAATACCTATATATCTATTTTGACTTTTGCCCTAAAATTTCATTCAGATATATGCAATACTTTATAAAAATAAACATGAAGGTGTGTCTTGACTATCACTGCATTGCATGAATATACCAATATTATCATGATATTTCTCTTCGACACTCATACCCTGTTCACACGGAGAGTTTAATTCCAATTAAACGTAAGTTACTGCGAATTAAAATTGAACCGCGTTCACACAGGTAATTTAATGCGAATTAGTTTAATTCGAATTAATTTGCTGCGCATTAAATTACTTCGCATTAGCTCCGTGTGAACGCTAAGTGAAGCTAATTTGAATTAAATTTTGACACATGCGTAATGGCAAAATTAAGTCACATGCCACATGACGGTAGTCAGTTATAGGTACTTATGCTATTTTTAGTGCAAAACAACGGAAAATTACGTCAATCACTGAAATATGTATAAACACTATGAAATTATGTCAAATGGATTTGCTCTGCATAAGGTGACATGATTTGAAAATGACGTCATAATAGCCTTACTGAAAAGCCTTACTGTAGAAATAAAATTTTAATTCGCATTAGTTTACTTCGCATTATCTGTCATGTGAATGCAATTTAATTCGCATTATTTTACTTCGCATTAATTTACTGCGAATTAAACTCTCTGTGTGAAGAGGGCATCATTTTGAATCTGAATATGCTTAAGATTTTTGCACAAAGAAATGAATTTTGAAATAACATTTACACAAGGTTCAAATGATTTTAATACTATGACTCAAACAAGATGGTTTATAGCAAAATGGCAGACAGGGTAAAGATTATAAAAAAGAAGCAGAGGTTAAAAGGATATGTGGATGAACTGAAAATGAGTACCGAAAAATAATGCCATTGCTATGTTAGTAACATTCAACAACAGACAAAATCTAATGTTATGTATTTTGTATTTTTACAAGAGACCCATGAGCCAAAACGTTCACCTGAGTAACTTTGGCCCTGCTGTTCTTCATCAGATTTCCCCCCTTGAAATACTTATTGTGGCCCTACCCTACTCCTGGAGGTCATGATTTGAACAATTTATAATTTACACTACCTCAGGAAGCATGGGAAGCTTCCATATAAGTTTCAGCTTTTCTGGCAAAGTGGTTCTTGAGAAGTAAATTTTAAAGATTTTTCCTATACATGTATATCTCAATGCAGGGGTTGAAATATATGGTAGCCCCACACCTGGGGCTAGTCATTTTAAGACTCAGGCTAGTTAATTTAAATGTAATAATAGTATGGCGGACTAACAGAATGAAAAAAAAAATTATCTTCAGTTTACTTTCTCATTTCTATGTAGACTGGTGTCTTTTAGATTAGATTAATTTGTTTCTGTCACCAACACATTTGAAACTTTAACTTGTTATGTTTTCATTTTGCATAAAATAAAATAAAAAAAAAATGTTGGGCTAGTTAGTTTGAGGTTTGGGCTTGTAATTTTTTACTGATCCGTAGCCCCTGGGCTAGTGGATTTCAAGGAAAATTTCAATCCCTGCAATGTAAAACTTTGATTCCCTACTGTGACCTACCCTACCACAGGGGACCCATGACTTGAACAATTTAGAATCTATGCTTTCTCAGGAAGCTTTCACATGTAAGTTTCAGCTTTTCTGGCCCAGTGGATTTTTAGAAGATTTGTAAAGATTTTCCCCATATATTTCATTGTATTAAAACTTTGATTCTCTATAGTGGCCCAACCTTTTTCTCGGGGGGTCATGATCTACTTCAGGAGGCTTTCACATAAGTTTCAGTTTTTAAACTCCCCTTCATCCAAGGATGCTTTGTATCAACTTTGGTTAAAATTGGTTTTTGAGAAGAAGTTGAAAATGTGAAAAGTTTACAGACAGACAGACAACAGGTGATCGGAAAATCTCACTTGATCTTACTATAACACGTATAAGGAAAAAAAAGCCAACAAATAAATGCATATAAAATTTTCTATTTGTAGGTGTCCAGAAGTGTCAATGGGTGCGAGTGCCCTTTATTGTTTACTCCACACACGTTGCCACAACAACTGTTGCCATATGCTACCATATTCTTATGGAGTCCTTCAAACACCCTAAATACCCAGGACCAGAAACACTCAGAGAGAGACTTTTCCTCCTGGCAATATATTTTCCATATCTTATAATTCCAATATTACTTTTACTTGATTCTCTTTTTAGCAAAGAGTATACTAAGAAAATTAAACATTCTTAGACTTTGTTACTTAAATATTTTAATGTCATTTTATCATCTTGTATTTTTGTAATCAATACTCATTTTCATACAATATATTATCTAAATATATAAGTATATACTAGAAATTTGGATTTTGTTGATGTTGAAGAAATCAAATCTGAATTATATGGGGCCACCATTAAAAATATTTTTGTTTGATGTACTCTGACCCACATTTTTCAAGGAGAGTAGGTAGGTAGGTAATTTTTTTTTTTTGGCAGTTTGCTAACAAATTAATTATTATCATAAAAACGCAGGATAAGAAATTTATTGATGTTTTCTGAACAGCTAGACAGGGTCACCCTAAACAGATTTAATTTTCATTATAAAAACTTTGAATCCAAAAAAATTTTAAAACCTCAATTTTAAAATGAGACAATCTCTATATCCCTGAAAAACAAAAAATAATTTAAATTCAAAGTACTGAAAAAAATGATTGGGTAGGGGCATTTTTGATGGGTCGGTCAGAGTACAACAAACAAATTATTTTCCATTGTTGGCCTGGATGTTGTACTGGAGTGTCATATTTAGTAAATGTTTGCAGAATTATTCTTGATGAAGTTGGTTCAAGTGCAGTTTTGAATGTGAACAGAGTACTTAATCTCTTGAATTCAAAATTTAGTCAACATGCTTATCATTTCAAGATTTTTTAAATGGAAACCTTAAATATATAATGTTACAAAATTAAATGATTTAATTAATCTTGAATCTGACATCTCTAGTCCTCAGAATGCGTGTGGAAAAAAAGTACCCAGACTGTGCATTCATTTAGTGAAGGTCCTTTCAGTAAAAAGAACTTACAATGTCTTATAGAGAATTTTTCTATTATGCCATACAGGTGAACAAGTACACAAAAAAACATCTCCCGATGCTTTCTTTCTGATAAAGTAAGCACCCTAGTAATGGTTGCATACTTATGGTAGTGTACATGTATAGATTAACTGGAGTAATTGAAAATAGTGCTAAACCAGAAGTCTATGACGAGACTGTCGCTCTACTGGTTCATACTATAAGGTAGCACCTTGGCTTGAAACTATGACAACAGCAATAAACAGAATAATGATCCTTGGTGTAGTCTCTTTGTGTGGCAAGTTTTAATTACTGCAATTTGACTAATACTGTAGAAGGAGTAGCCTTTTGAAAGAAACTCTCAGCATTTTTATGCAACTGAGAACACAAACTTCAATTGTACTCTAAATATGTTGAATTTTCTTTAATTATGTCAAATTTCAAATACCTAACAAGACAATGTATAACACTGATATAATGATCCACTTCTATATATCAAACTAAATTCTATTACTTGGTAACATCATCAGGACATGAAATCCAAATATTTGGAATATTCTATACTCAATTATTTTTATTTGTATTTAACAAATATAATTTAAAAAATCAGCAAACATTTACATAAATTCAACTTGTAAATAAGCTAAACTCATTCATCATTTCCTGATACCTTTCTCACCATTAAAATCTTTCCATACCAATAACCATCACCATGACCATTAGCATAATTTACTGATTCATGAATTAATATTGACACTACAACTATTAAGTGTTACTTTTAGCTGTCTTCATTCGACCTGTTCTGTCTGGAATATGTTCAATAGGATATCACATGTCGCTTCTTTAGTCTGTGAAGCAAATATGAACTGATTTTGTGCGAAAATAAAATTCCAGAGCTGAAACACACAATGCTGAAGATAATTTACTATGCATGTATATCAGTCTATTGTCTTCTTTTTATTTCCTTGTTGACCAGAAGATTGCATGTATTTTTGAAAATTGTATAGTAAGCCTGCTGACACAGCCAATAATAGAAACACACCAGTGGTCTCTCGGTAATGTTCAGCACTCTTATTTGACTGTTGATAAATGTTCTTTTGCTGTTTTTCAAATTTTTCCTTGTAGAAAGCTTTTAAACGTGCTTCTGTCATCCTCTGATCTGTTATTTCTTTGTAACCTTTCATTGTTACTTTGTCTAAATCAGTTTTAACAGGTTTAGGGGGTACTTTAAATGGGTCGAATTCCTCTTCTTCTTCTGCCTGGGATTGCTTTTGACCATAGGAATGATGAGTTCCTGAAATCAAACCCCGGTCATACATTCTCCGTGAATGGACATTTCCTAAAATGGTGTATGCATCAGATACCAACTGAAACTGCTTTCTAGACTCTTCACTGTCGCTTACATCAGGGTGATGTATTTTGGTCAGGTCAATGTAAGCTTTCTTGATTTGGGTTTGACTGGCGCTAGACTGGACACCTAGCACTTCATAATAAAAAGTGTTTCGTGTATGGCGATGTTTTGTGACATACTGTCGTAAGTGTATGCCTTTTAATCCCCAATCAGTGCCTCTGTAAAACCTCGGAATGTAGTAATGCAACCCCAACGTCCTCATTCGGTATGCCTTTAAAGTCACTAACTACAACAAAAATAAAAGTTGTTTAGGTATTCACTTTTTCTCCAGAGAATGAATGTTTCTTGCTTGTATTACATAATTTACTCCAACCCCCTACAACCGTCGGTCGTCCTCTAGACAATCAATATCACTTCACGTCACTATCGAAAATATATGCGAATTCATTATTAGAAACGTCCGAAGGACTAAGACATAGGGAAACTTTTTCGGAATTCCAAAGTTTACAATGAAGATTTAGAATTACTCAGCAATTAAAATATCCCGTTGCAGTAACAAACAAGCATGGCATCAGGTGGAAGACCAGAAAGACAAGCTCCTCCTGAGATAGTAAGTTATTTTCTCACGTCTAATTTGTCAGACATTGTGAAATGGCCGAGTCATCACAAGCATTTCAAACTTTTATTGTTACATACCAAATTAGTTGTTTATTATATATCAGAAGGAGCACAAGTGCCTGAGTAGTATGAATACTTTTATAGTATTATACCCTATATACATAATATGGGCATTGTTCTTTAGCGAAGTAAATAACTGACTCATTGATATTATCGTCAAATCCGTCTGTGTATCGTCAATTCTCATTATATCGCGGGTTCCATTGTATCGCTGTATATTCCAAAAATTAGGATATTATCAGTCAAGGTTGAGACTGAAATCCATCATATTGAAATATGATTGATAATTGTCATTTCTACTGACTACATAATAAGTGTTTTTATTATTTTTGTAAATATGACTTGTTTTCATCATGTGTCCATTCCCAAGTTAATTCTTCTGATCCATTTACTACAGTGACAAGATATAGTACTCTATCCTGCCATGGGGCGTGGACCCATGTGTGGAGAAAAAACTTGACAGACAATTGAAACCAGAATAGTAGTGCGCCCTATAAAACTAACGAGATAATTAAGTGTGCCAAGACCTACCAATTTTATAAATAATGATGAAATACAGTCATATTTATTTTCAGATGTAACTCTATATTGATAAATTAAACTCCAAATAGTTATCACTGTTTTTCATCATTATTCTAAAAAATGCTGAATTTTAGTTATTATTAAAAGTCAATTTTATGACTAGAAATCATCAATTTTAAAAAAAGATAAATTTCAGTCTCACCCCTGACTGATTATAGGGTTATTTAACTTATATTGGTGAATATTGGCACGAGTTGGCTGTACAAATGCACAATATATAGTGTTAAAGTTATGATCTCTCTTGTGATGTGCAGATAAGAACTTTAATTAGCATGACCGGCGACTGGATAACAAAGTAATTGGTTTGACCATCGCCGTGCCGACCCACACTTCCATACAACCTTACTGAGCTCTATTAATAATAACATAGTAATATTTCTGTGTAATATTAATGGTGCTAAATACAAAATAATTGTTTCAAGGTCCCTGTTGAAAACATAAAAATGAAGTTTCAGTAGTATAGTGGGTTTTCTTAGATAACTTTTCCTGAAGCTTTCATTAAATTAGTAAAATGCTTTCAAGGAAAAAAATCCAGACCCCTCAGAATATCAGATCAAGTTCTTTGATGTCAAATTGGAGATTTCTTTTTCCAATTTAAAAGATGGGATATGCTAATTTAGCCATTGATGACATAGAGTTTGAGATAAAACATCTGAACAATAAGTAGTGCTCTAATATCTGTTTATCTTTTTCAGATTGAGATAAAACATCTGATCAATAAGTAGTGCTCTAATATCTGTTTATCTTTTTCTGAATGAGATAAAACATCTGATCAATAAGCAGTGCTCTAATATCTGTTTATCTTTTTCTGAATGAGATAAAACATCTGATCAATAAGCAGTGCTCTAATATCTGTTTATCTTTTTCAGATTGAGATAAAACATCTGATCAATAAGCAGTGCTCTAATATCTATTTATCTTTTTCAGTTCTACAATGAGGATGAAGCAAAGAAATATTCTTCAAAGTAAGACTTTCAGTAAAAGTTTAGGTCTTACAAATTTGTTAACAGTCATAAAATAAAACCAAGGATTTGATTTCAAGAAACTCTCTACCATAGAGCTGTACATTGTACATATATGAATGTGAAGCTGTACATATACATATATGAATGTAAAACTGTTAACATTGTATTCAGTATATTATGCATGTCAGTTTATGCATATTTCCAAACTGTTACAAACTACATTGTATACAAACAAAATTTTCTTCAATAAAATCAATATTTTTTCAATATCTTTCAAATTAAATTAGTCAGAACATTTAATGTCCTAAAAACACTTGTATAAATTACTATAAAGAAAAAAAATATTTGAATCACTGATTTTTTTATGCGCCCAGATCGATAGATCGGGGGCGCATATTGTTTTTGTCCTGTCTGTCTATTTGTCTTTCTGTTGTCAACTTTAACCTTCGCCATAACTTTTGAACCATGAGAGATAGAGACTTCATATTTGGTATGCATACTCCACTAATTAAGCTCTTTCAAATGACACTAAGGTCAATGACCTTGTGACCTTGACTGTGACCTATATGCTAAAAATAGCTTTTTCGAACTTTGTTGCTGCCGGGTGCATAGTGTTTCACAAACACATCTTGTTTTTTTCAGTACACGTATGATAGAAATACAAAGCCAGTTATCAGAGAGAGCGTTGGAGCTGCTCCGACTCCCTGATGAGCCCTGTTTTATTCTAGATGTCGGGTAGGCTTTGTATGGTAGACATATTTTGAACATTTCATTTCTTTCAATCTGATCTATCCAGATGGTTTTAAACACTTACATTGCATTTTTTAGTTGTGGCTCAGGTTTGAGTGGTGAAACAGTAACAGAACAGGGTCATTACTGGGTCGGCATAGACATCAGTTCACACATGCTGGGTATGATTGTGTAATTTATGTGCAGTCAACAACATTGATACAAATATTATTTTGAAAGAAGAATCATTGAAATTGAAAGTAGTATTACATGTGACACAAAGACAAAAGATACAAGTAAATAAGTTCTTACTGATGTCTTACTTCTGCATTTTCTCAGGTGTTGCTGTCGACCGTGAGGTAGAAGGGGATCTGATAGAGGGAGACATGGGGTATGGAATCCCCTTTAGACCTGGAACTTTTGATGGTGTCATCAGGTAAGAAAAAACATAATGAGTTAACTGAACAAAAACATAGCATTCTGTTTGTCTGAGGAACATTATATAAATTAGTGCATGTTTTTGAAGGTAACAGTTGAGATTGACACCCCAAGGAAAACCATTGTCAACCTACACATCAGTGGAGGTTGACGGTGGTTTTCGGAGGGGTGTCAATTTCAACTGTTACCCTCAAACATATGCACTATTTATTTTATTATACTGAATGTCTTATTGATTTAGGATGTCAGCCAAATAAAATTCAGAGATTGTCCTCAAGTTCATGTTCAGAAAGCTTTCAAACTCCCCGCTTCTGTTTTTCTCAATAAGAAAGCTTCGAAAAAGATTTACCGACCTCTGTCTTGTTTATTTGATACTCAGAGAGTCTTTTATCATCTAAAGCTTTGTTTTTCTGCACTCAAAGGCATTTTTTGTCTGTCGTTTGTTGTTTTCAATCAAGCTTCATCGGACGCAAGCTTTGAGTGACGTGAAGTTTATTTGGCTTCTTTCAAATGCACAACTGATGCTTTGAGAATTCTACAGCGAACCATACGACATAATTTACATGCATGTGACATTATTTTTGTGTTACCCATTGTCAAGTGTGTTGCTAATGCTGAGGGTAACATGACAGATTGTTAAATGTGTCTAAACCAATCAGATATAAGTATTTAACATGAAAGTATAATAATGTAAATTATATTGTACTCTGACTTCCACCATTCAGATCTTGATTTATGTTTGCAACAAAATATTAACAATGAAAGCTTGTTCAATTTACATGAAATATCCCTGATTTTTTTTTCAGATTTAATTTCATATTTACTCCAATTCCTTTACTTTCAGTATATCAGCTTTACAGTGGTTGTGTAATGATTTCATGTTCTTTACTTTCAGTATATCAGCTTTACAGTGGTTGTGTAATGATTTTTATGTCCTTTACTTTCAGTATATCATCTTTACAGTGGTTGTGTAATGATCTCATGATCTTTTCTTTCAGTATATGAGCTTTACAGTGGTTGTATAATGATTTCATGTTCTTTACTTTCAGTATATCAGCTTTACACCAGTATATCAGCTTTACAGTGGTTGTGTAATGATTTCATGTCCTTTACTTTCAGTATATCAGCTTTACAGTGGTTGTATAATGATTTCATGCTCTTTACTTTCAGTATATCAGCTTTACAGTGGTTATGTAATGCTGACAAAAAATACCATCATCCACCAAAGAGATTACTCAAATTTTTCACTACACTGTATGCTGCAGTTGTAAGTATAGTGGCATTGTTTGAATTGTTTGCAAATGACTTTTGATATTCAACTGAGAAATTAGATACATATAAGAATTATCTTAATAAATATCCAATATTTTGTATTTTTGAAAGCATGTGTGTTTTTTGTTTTTGTTTTTTGTTTTTGTTTGCTAGAAAATAAAGGATTATATTTGTAGGTTCCATTTATTTTGTAAATTAATTACTGGTTTATATCCAACTTAAATGCCTCAATGTTCTTAATTATTGGAAGATATGAGACTCTAAATGTCTTTTGCCAATTGAAAATTTAGGATTAAGAGTTTGCAAATAACCATTATTACAAATAATCATTAATTACAGAACCTTTTTCTCCCTTTGCACAACTATTTTTTTTGTATAAAACTACTTATTACTGATATTTGCACTTTGTTACTGTGTAGATCATTACAACCCAATATTCTTAAGTAAAATCTGACATCAGTGTGGCCAGTCACAGTTGATTCAACCAGAGGCAAAAAATCATTTGGGCACACTTGATGCAACATAATACTATATTTACTCTACAGATAATTGTAATTTTTTGCACTTATTAATAAACCAAAGTATGTTTCTTATAGATTACATGTAATTTTCAGTGAAATTTTTTCAAAATTTTCTTCTCTTATAGTTTTGGTAAGATTTCAGTAAATCTTGGTACACAAAAATATATAATTCTGTTTATCATCCCCCTCACAAAAAGGGTACATGCATAAGTTTAAAAAATATCAATATACAAAATTCTACAAAGAGTGTTTCAAGTCCAAGTGTTTCAAGTGCAACTTTTCCTTGTCCTAATTTATCTTTCATTCCATTAGTGTATGTATGCCATTATTATAGAAAATTAAATATCCTGGTATGAAGTAATATTAAAGCATTGATTATTATTTAGACCAGAGGTGGTAAAGCAGTGTTTCAACTTTATCCAGAAAACAGTTCACAGGTAGGAAAAATCTTAAAACTTAAAAAAAACTATATGTATTTTAATACATTTCCTAGTATATGTGTAATGGAAAAATTTGCTTTTGGGTAAATATTTTAAATAAGATACTGCTTCAGAATTTCATCAGAGTATGGTCTACTGCTGCATTGGCATAGCTGTATCATCAGTAAACAGTCTCTGTTTTACAGCTGTTGTTCTGTCATCAGTAAACAATGTCTCTGTTTTACAGCTGTTGTTCTGTCATCAATAAACAATGTCTCTGTTTCACAGCTGTTGCTCTGTCATCAGTTAACAATGTCTCTGTTTTACAGCTGTTGTTCTTTCATCAGTAAACAATGTCTCTGTTTTACAGCTGTTGCTCTGTTATCAGTAAACAATGTCTCTGTTTTACAGCTGTATTACTGTTATCTGTAAACAGTCTGTTTTACAGCTGTTGCTCTGTCATCAGTAAACAATTCTCTGTTTTACACTGTTGCTCTGTCATCAGTAAACAATGTCCCTGTTTTACAGCTGTTGCTCTGTCATCAGTAAACAATGTCTCTGTTTTACAGCTGTTGCTCTGTCATCAGTAAACAATGTCTCTGTTTTACAGCTGTTGCTCTGTCATCAGTAAACAATGTCTCTGTTTTACAGCTCTTGTTCTGTCATCAATAAACAATGTCTCTGTTTCACAGCTGTTGTTCTGTCATCAATAAACAATGTCTCTGTTTTACAACTATTGCTCTGTCATCAATAAACAATGTCTCTGTTTTACAGCTTTTGCTCTGTTATCAGTAAACAATGTCTCTGTTTTACAGCTGTATTACTGTTATCTGTAAACAGTCTGTTTTACAGCTGTTGCTCTGTCATCAGTAAACAATTCTCTGTTTTACACTGTTGCTTTGTCATCAGTAAACAATGTCTCTGTTTTACAGCTGTTGCTCTGTCATCAGTAAACAATGTCTCTGTTTTATAGCTGTTGCTCTGTCATCAGTAAACAATGTCCCTGTTTTACAGCTGTTGCTCTGTCATCAGTAAACAATGTCTCTGTTTTACAGCTCTTGTTCTGTCATCAGTAAAAAGTCTTAGTTTTACAGCTGTTGCTCTGTCATCAGTAAACAATGTCTCTGTTTTACAACTATTGCTCTGTCATCAGTAAACAATGTCTCTGTTTTTCAGCTGTATTGCTGTTATCAGTAAACAATGTCTCTGTTTTACAGCTGTATTACTGTTATCAGTAAACAATGTCTCTGTTTTACAGCTGTATTACTGTTATCAGTAAACAATGTCCCTGTTTTATAGCTGTTGCTCTGTCATCAGTAAACAATGTCTCTGTTTTACAGCTGTTGCTCTGTCATCAGTTAATAGTCTCTGTTTTACAGCTGTTGCTCTGTCATCAATAAACAATGTCTCTGTTTCACAGCTGTTGCTCTGTCATCAGTAAACAATGTCTCTGTTTTACAGCTGTTGCTCTGTCATCAGTTAATAGTCTCTGTTTTACAGCTGTTGCTCTGTCATCAGTAAACAATGTCTCTATTTTGCAGCTGTTGCTCTGTCATCAGAAAACAATGTCTCTGTTTTACAGCTGTTGCTCTGTCATCAGTAAACAATGTCTCTGTTTTAAAGGCTGTATTACTGTCATTAGTAAACAATGTCTCTGTTTTACAGCTGTTGTTCTGTCATCAGTAAACAATGTCTCTGATTACAGCTGTTCCTGTCATCAGTAAACAATACCTCTGTTTTACAGCTGTATTACTGTCATCAGTAAGCAATGTCTCTGTTTTACAACTGTTGCTCTGTCATCAGTAAACAATGTCTCTGTTTTACAGCTGTTGCTCTGTCATCAGTAAACAATGTTTCTGCTTTACAGCTGTTGCTCTATCACCAGTTAACAATGTCTCTGTTTTACAGCTGTTGCTCTGTGATCAGTAAACAATGTCTCTGTTTTACAGCTATTGCTCTATCATCAGTTAACAATGTCTCTGTTTTACAGCTTTTGCTCTGTCATCAGTTAACAATGTCTCTGTTTTACAGCTTTTGCTCTGTCATCAGTAAACAATGTCTCTGTTTTACAGCTGTGATGCTCTGTCATCAGTAAACAATATCCCTGTTTTACAGCTGTTCCTCTGTCATCAGTAAACAATGTCTCTGTTTTACAGCTGTTGCTCATCAGTAAACAATGTCTCTGTTTTACAGCTGTTGCTCTGTCATAAGTAAACAATGTTTCTGTTTTACAGTTGTTGCTCTGTCATCAGTAAACAGTGACTGTTTTACAACTATTGCTCTGTCATCAATAAACAATGTCTCTGTTTTACAACTATTGCTCTGTCATCAGTAAACAGTGACTGTTTTACAACTATTGCTCTGTCATCAGTAAACAATGTCTCTGTTTTACAGCTATTGCTCTGTCATCAATAAACAATGTCTCTGTTTTACAACTATTGCTCTGTCATCAGTAAACAGTCTCTGTTTTACAACTATTGCTCTGTCATCAATAAACAATGTCTCTATTTTACAGCTTTTTCTCTGTCATCAGTAAACAATGTCTCTGTTTTACAGCTTTTGCTCTGTCATCAGTAAACAATGTCTCTGTTTTACAGCTTTTGCTCTGTTATCAGTAAACAATGTCTCTGTTTTACAGCTGTATTACTGTTAACAGTAAACAGTCTCTGTTTTACAGCTGGAGCTGATCACACAGCAGGCAATGAAGGCTGGATGGACTGGAGGTTTAGTGGTAGATTATCCCAACAGCACAAAGGCAAAAAAGTCAGTATACAATTAATATACTTTTAAAATTATCTGGAAGTATTTGAATCACACATGTTCAGAGGGACTTCCACGTATCTTTTACAAACTGGCTCACCTATGAGGAATGTTATTGTAAACCAACTTTTTTCCATGTGCGAGAAATATCTTGAGTTTTGTGACCTTGTTTTACTCTCAAATGTTACTTGTCGCAAACTGTTCACTGTGGAATCGTCATTGTTCCTGGGGGACCAATGTTCGTGAATTTTGTCGGTCACCCTTACCCATGAATTTACATCTCCATGAGTGTTTATTTTGTAAACATATTGATTAATTCTACCATGTAATCGAGTAACCCACGAAATTACACCCCTGGCCAGTGAACAAGTAAAATTAAGCTTGAATACAAAAAATCGACCCCAATGAATTAAAATGATTCCACAGTATTTTATTGTGTATTTAGGTAGTATATTTCCTCATTTGCAAAAATTAGTTGTCTTGGATGATTTAAAACTTGATAATGCGAATAAAAACTGTCGCAAATAATTATTGGTTACAGCATGTTATTGATAAATGAAAGATGAAGATTTCCATTATTTTTAATCATGAAGATTTCAAACTATTAGGACTGCCGTGTTGACTTTGTTTTAGGATGTTTCTGTGCCTCTTTGCTGGAGGTCAGCCTCAACAGCTACCCAAAGGACTAGGGGAGGGGGACTCAGTGTCTAGTCATGCCTCATTCACAGACAAAAGGTACAGTTAGTTGGAGTAGAAAGGCTACGAAATTCAATCTTGCATGTATATTTTAAGCTGAACTAGTAGATGATGAGTAGAGCTTATGGGATGGTACTGTAGATTCCTAAATATATGCGAGGAAAATATTATCTTATAATTTCGCGAGAAGCTCAACTCACAAAATTAAATTACTCCCTTTTACATGTATATTTATGGTGATTAAATGTATGTAAAATCTCTAGATCAAACGAGCACTTGCGAATTATTGTTTTCACGATTTGACGTCCTAGGTCCATTTTGCAATATTAGGTATTCATGTAAAATAAGGAATCAACAGTATCATATCTGTAATACATGTCTGTTAGTTTTTAATTTTGATGAATAGTGTTGCAGTTGAAAATAGATTGAGTAAAATTCTTCCAAAACACCACTCCTGAGGCTCCTCCAATAGTTTTTGGTGCAGTTTCAATAAATATTTACTCAACTAAAATAGAAATTTCTTTAAAATTCTTTACACAAGTACACCAAGACTAAAAATTATATAATTACATCAGTTTAAGATCTTGAGTGGTATTGCCATGGCTACAAAAATAAATATTTTTTTTACAATGCTTCCTGTCCTGCAGGTTTAGGTTGGTATCAGTAAAACTTTAAAAATCACTGAGAAGTTGTAAATGTACAAAAATTAGAGCACTCAAAATTTAGCACAATCTCACTCTTCAACTGATTAGTGTAATCATAAATTTGTGCGCTTGAGTGTCAAAAAAGAGGAGTATTAATGGTTTATATTATGTATTAGCATGGACATGAATGAGCAGGCATGAAGCACAACAAAGGGCCCTAAAATATGATTATTAAGAATGTTTATAGTAATTGTATGAAAATAAACAAAATAAGAGTTTAAAATCCAGGTGCAATTTTTCTCCAATACTATGAAATTACTAACTTTTGTGGGAAGTTAATTTTTGTTTTCGTGATATGAAGAGAAACACTAAATAAATTCAGGTCACCAACAAAATGTTAAAAATTCAAACTATAGTATATAATGTTTCTCCTTCAACCATGAAATCAGATCCCCTCAGACAAGTAATTTTTCCTCATATCACAAAGATGTACAAGTATACAAGCCAGTAGACTTATGGATTCATTAATTGGAGAGCTGGTTTATTAAGTTGTGGAGGGTATAACATTTTTGTCTCGTCAGTTCATAAGTCCTGCACTTGTCATCATAACTCCTCTGAAATAGCTCAACAGAATTTCACAAACCTTTGTTATTAATAAGGACATAATATTCACTTGAAATTCCATTTTGATTTTTTTTTTCTGGGAGTTATGCCCCTCTTGAACTTCAAAGTTTGTCTTCCCTCAGTCCTGTTCTTGTTGCACAATTCCTCTTAAATCAATCAACAAAATTTCATGAAACTGTGTAGTTAATATGGACATACTATGTAGATGTGCATATTCACAGGAAATTCTGATTTAATTTTTTTTCATAGAATTATGCCCTCTTTTGAAGTGAAGGTAGAAGTTTGGCCAAAATATACTAATTTTGTGTCACTTGTGTGAAACACATGCATCATGATTGTAAATGATAAAGTTTTAGAAGCTGTTTTGCTTGTTTGAAAATGTTTTATTCAGTGTACCTATAATTGGAATAATTATAAACAGATGTGATCCTGATGTGACAAAGGGAAATGGGGGGGGGGGGTATTTGTTGTATGTAAGGCATGCCCTGTAGCATTACCATTTTTATGTGTAGCATTGTCAAGCAATGTGGGAGCATAGGGTATGTGAACCTGCTCATTATTTCTTTAATTTAGATACAACATTTTAAACTTAAGTATATTGTATTTCATATCTAGTTTTTTTTTTTATATTAATGCTGGCTCTTTTATTCTGTGCTTCAGACTTATATCTGAAATATCAGAGGTGTTTCCCCCCTAATAGTTTAAACAGCTATCAGAGTAAAGCATAAAAGTCTTTACAATAATTGTGAATGCATCCTTATTTAGTGAATTCTTTATTTTACAGAGAGAGAATGAAGAATATGAGAGGGAAAAACCCCAAGAGCAACCGAGACTGGATTCTGGCAAAGAAAGAAAGAAGACGGCGACAGGGAAAGTAGGTGTATTTCATTTACTGCTGGCATTTTTATCTTCTACTATGATATTGTATTTTAGTTTTAAAGAGGCTGGGGATGAGAAAAAAAAAAGACAGACTTGTAATTTACCAGCAATACACAAGTGTATGGGTGTCAGTTTGGAATCATACTCATTTACCGGTAGATAACATGTCACAAAAACTCTGTGTAGTCATTTTCAAGCTGACTTTAGCCCCTTAACAGTAGAAAACATGATTACTAGAAATATACAATCCATGTATGTTATAAAAATATCAAAGGATAGGGAAGGACATAAAATTCCAAATTGAAACCACTCATTGATTTACAAGCCTGATGTATAAAGATATCACAGTTTTTTTTCTCTCTAAAATAGTACTCATCTGAATGCTATCTCCGTAGACTTTGTGAATTTTCAACTCAATTCAATTCATAGTACATGTAGGATATTTTTAAAAAATATTTTTCAGAGAAGTTCGTGGACATTCAAAGTACACAGGAAGAAAGAGAAAAGATCGGTTTTAGCAGTATGGGTTTATATTTGAATGACGAAAGAAAGATCCTTCAACTGTTTCAAATGATTTCAACTTACACCAACTACCAGATAAAGAAAACAAAACATTTGCAAATGATGAAGAGCAACTTCTTTTTTAGTTTTTGGTATTTAAGGATTTGATTTTCGGTGAAACAGATTGTGAATATTCACATGAAGACATCAATGTAAAGAACATCTGTGAAGTACATGTGCGTGTATGTGCTTTTTTGTTAAGTTTTCAGAATAAAATCAATACTGTTAATGTACCGGGTATGTTTGTTATAAAAATATACTTTTATCAGGTGATGATGAGATGCAAACAAATTACTTTGAAAAGCAGTCTTTGCAAAAATGCAAAGAAATTGTTTTTGCAAATTGTCACTCATATTATGATGTGTTGTTTTACACTTTATATGCCAGCTTTGAACGATAAGAAAACTATGTATTACATACATTGAAAACTAATATACTAATACGTGTAATTATGATGAATATTGATGGTGTTTTTCTGTGAAAAATATGCAGGGATTAAGGTGGATTATAAAGGAGATGGGTGAACAAGGCGTACAGAATGCCTATAGACTCAGATACATTATATAAAAATCATATTCAATTTAGAGTAAAGTTCTCATTTATATTGAAATTTATGAAATTATGATAAACAACACTTTTCTGAGAAAAATTTTCTTGGCAAAACTTTTTCTGTTATTAAAAAATGATGTGGTACTCACAGGGTTTGAACCCTAGCAATAAAAATCCTGAGTATCATTTTCTTTTGAGACCAACACATTAACCACTATGGTACACAACTCTTAATGAAAAGAGGCATTTAAATAATGTTTGTGATATAACCCATGACTAAAAGGACTTTATTTCTCAGAATGTTCTGTATTTTTAAGGTATAGTGGATCTTTCCTCCATGTTTTTGTTAACCAAAAAATGTATATTTTTATGCAAATTTCGAGGATAAACTTTCAAAAAAATGGAGCAAAGACCCACTCATATCGAAAAATTGTGTGAAAGTATGAAAAAAATGATCTTGTTTGTCCTCTCTAGTGTGTGTATGCTATTTCACTTTTTGTAAAGTATCAACTTCCCATATTTTTTATTACAAATTTACATGTATGGCCTCAATGGGAGCCAGTTTTGTTGCTAAAGCCTCGTTTCCCAATGTCCTTTAGGTAATGTGCAATATTTTTACCAATGTAAATTTTCAATAATTTCCCATTATTAAAAAAAAAATGGGTCAGGACAGGAATTGTATATTTTTCTGACAATGACCTTGAACTTGTCTAACTGGCCTTTGGTAATGGTCAATGCACAATTTCAGGCCATAAGAAGCATTGCAGTTGAATATAAATATCAATGTTTCTCATGAAAATAAAGATCAAACACAAATTTTCTTTTTCTACCAGTGACCTTGAACTTTGTCCAAATGACCTCAAGACATATTTATGTTTATGAGTTTTCAGTGTCAATCTCCATTACAAAGACACTCGCTGTATATTATTGCGTAGATGGTAATTACGACAAAGGCATGATTTGCACAGATGAAGTGATATCCTTCATGTATTTTGGAGGGGATGATAATAAGGCACTTTTTTAAATATGTTATACAGATTTATTGTAAAGTAATATTTCCTAAGATGTACAGCTGTAATGAAATTTCATTGATTTGAAATAAGTCCATGTACACATTTTTGCTAATTTAACAATACTACACTGTAGTAAATGCATTTACACCCACTAACCATATCTTGCTTTAAAATTTAAATACATGTAAAGCACTTTTTTTTCAACATTTCCTAGATTATATCAGATACATTGAATCACACTCTACAAACAAATGCTCTGTCAGAAGCAAAAGTGAAGACAACACATGAAAGTTTACTGAATACATGTAAATCACTCATTTGATAAATGCACTAATAATAAGCGTGTAGTTGATTATTGCATCAGTACAGGAAGTGATGATAGGTCTGGATGATTTAAGCATGATCTATTGGTCCTAGGCTTTCACCAAGAGTTTCTCAAACCTTGACAGCCATCCATCAGCACTGGATCTATCAATAATCAAAGGGAAATAATCCTTTATAGTCAACCATTTCAACAAGTAGTATATTGTACGTGTATGTTGTATTAAATAAGAAATCTGTGTTTTAAGTAAATTGCAGGAATCACTTTGATAGCAATACACCTACATGGAAGTTTAAATGATAATTGATTCTACTGATATATAATGGCAATATATATACAGAAAAAAGACTTTTGGAGAAAAGCAGTTTAAACATCATACGGTCTTAGTACTCAGTATATCTTAAATAAATCTAACAATTGCAAGGACGGGTTGTTAAAAAATTACATAATTTATTCATACTGGACCTCAGTGTTGAACATTATGTTTCAATTCTAATAAACTTTATGGAGTTCGTCTTTAAAGACAATGTACATTATTTGCCCTTAAAAGTGCTTAGACACAGATTTGAACTTAATATTTTCTAAAATTTTCTGTATAATATCAAGACTTATATATTGCAATAGCATTTCACACGAAAATATAATTAAAAACTTATTTTATCTGGAAATTATTGGAACTACGAATTCTGGGACGTGTTTGATTAACACATCTTTGCACTTACACAAATTTGAACTTCATCCTTAATTTTTAAGAAAAGAAGCGATTTTGTTATGTATAAATGCGAAATATTACATCTATAATCCAGAAAATTCAGAGTAGAAATGTTCGAAAGCAAAACCAACTCACCAGTATTGTCGGTCTGTGCTCTGTGATGTGTACGGACTTTAACAAATTGAACACACCTGTGAAACGTAAACTGTTTTTGTAAACAGGGCATGAGCTCTGTTATTGTTAATGTTTACGATTCACCGGGTGTGTTCAATTGTTAAACTCTGCACACACCACTGAGCACGAACTTACAATACTGTGAGTGGGTTTTGCTTTCGAACATTTCTACTCTGAATTTTCTGTGTTGTAGTTCTAATATTTTTCATTAATACACAACAAAATTGCCACTTTTCTTAAGTATTTAGAAAAAAATTAAAATATGTGAAAGAGCAAAGATGTGTCAATCCAACTCGTCCAGAAATTCAAAGTTTTAATAACTTCGAGATGAAATAAGATTTTTATTATATTTTAGTATGAAATGCTATAGCAACATATAAGTCATGAAATTATACAGAAAATTTGAGAAAATATTAACTTCAAATCTGTGTCCAAGCACCTTTAAAGAAGTTCACTTCTGAAGATGTAAATATATAATCTACACTTACTGGACTTCACTTTTTAGGATCTTTTCTCCAATCAGCATCATATCAGCAATGCGGGACACAAAAGGGTCAAAGTTCAAACTTGCAGCTGCCACAACCTCATCTCCTCTTTAAAAAACAAATTGCCAAACAAATGAAAATCAGGAATAAATAGGCAATATATTACAATAATGTTTTCTGTTATTCAATGAATTCCTTTCAATTGGTAATTTTAAGGACATGTATTATGTGATGGCCATGTGATCAGCTTACTTTGTGTAGTAGGCGATGAACTTTGGAGCATCGAGGTCTCCATGTACAATGATGTCATCATATCCTGGACCATAACCTTGATAACAAAAGTCAAAAACAAAAGTCACAGCTAGCACTACATAAATGTCTCCTAGAGTAATATAGTCCATAATTTAGCACATTAAGCATGATCTGATATACATCTAAAATGGAGTCAATAGATTATGAAATTACTTTCTCAAGAAAATTCTCTTGTACATGAGTATCATACTTAATATATACCTGTATGTATTACTGATGGAAGAATAGTCTCTATGTTCTTTGGGGCACAGAGAGGACAAGTACTGTAAATCACATTTTATTCATGCGAACTTTTTTTGGGGGGGGGGGGTAATTATGCAAGACCCTCTGCTTGAGAAAATTTTATTCAAGATATTAAATTTATCATTGAAAGACTATGATATGTTCTGACTATTAGGTGAAACTTGCTGGATTAAATATATCTGTTTCACATGAAACCTGTTTTTGAGCCAAGCGGTTTTGTTATCAGATGTTTACAAAAGATAAAGACCACATCACTTTAAGGACTGGTAACTTATTCTCATTTATCTCCTCTTTTAATCATGTTAGAAGGACATAAACATGTTACAACACCAATTCTATGAGCTTTTTTCATAGTCACTACATATTAAAAATAGTCACCTGTGTAGCGAATACTTTTCTTATACTGTACTGTCCAAAAAAATGGCACACTTCTAATTTGTTCATCTCTTCCCAAAATTCCAAGGGCTGCTGTTTTTCCTAGAAATAAAATACTTATATTACTTAGATATCATTTGTTAACAGTGGCACAAGTATTTTCTGTATGTAATTTGACTTGTGTTGTTTTGTGACTATAATAATGTAACAAATAAATGTAAAAGAAGACTGATTGACCATACCATGTGCATGGGCCATCTGCCAGTGCTGGACATTTACTTTTTGATCTCCAACACTGAAGAGTGGGAATTCCACAATGTCACCAGTTGCATAGACATCTGGTTGATTTGTCTGCATCATCTGAAAAACAAAATCAAGAGTACATGTACATCTGTTCTTGATGGGATATGTTTACATTCCATTTCTTTCCATCAATAAAAACTCCTTTTTTTCACAAATACATCATTTTTCTTTGCTTCTCTCCTATTTGCAAATCTAAATTAATAATATTATAGTCTTAGTTACTGTTACCTACTTTATTTACTGGAATGAATCCTCTGTCAGTCATTTCTATACCAGAATCTTTAATGAAATCAGTAGCAGGAACCACACCTGCAAAAGAGATTTTAGTCTCAAGTATAATACAATTGAGTAAATTAATAGTAATCCAGCTTCCACATAAATATGTCTTTAGATTTTATGGGAGATTCCTGTTACCCTTACCTACTCCCATAATGCACACATCTGCTGGTAGCTTTGTGTCATCAGATAAAACAGCTTCAGTCACTTTACCATCACTCCCCACAAATTCCTTGATCCCCCTCTCAAAATAAAACTTCACTCCATTGTCTTCATGCATCTATAAAGAATATTATCCAGAAATAAGTTTTAAAAGAATTGTTGAACAAAAATGCTGTTACAAAAATCAAAATTTAACAAGAGGCCCATGGGTCACAATGTTAACCTGAGACACCTTGGAGCTGCTGTTCTTTTGAGCAGAGGCCCAACCCTTCCCCCAGGGACTATGACTGAAACACTACTTGAGGATTCTTGCATATTAATATCACTTATCATGGACTTGTAGTTCTTGAAAGATTTTTCTCTATAAATATACTCCCATGTAAAACGTTGATCCTCTTGTAGCCCAATCTTGTACCCCAGGGGGATCATGATTTTAATAAATTTCAGTCTATACTACCTGAAAAGGCTTCCATATTAATACATGTATCAATAATCATGGCCCTGCTGTTCTTTACAAAAAGCTTTTTTAAAAG